AGTAGAGTATATGTATTTTATGGTAAGTCTGGGTATAGTTTAGCTATTTCTGATTTAGTTTCTATTATTGTCATTTGTAATTATCTATAAAAGATAAGTCTGTATATTCATATGATTAATGGACACTGAGTCTTTTCAAAGAAGTCTGAGACTCTTAATATGGTATCAGAGCTACATTCATCTTTGTTGTATTCATTCATCATTTGAACTCGCACTGCAGATCTGTCTTTTCTATCGAGTCTTGTTTTGATTCTCTGATTTATCTTCTCTATTGAGTTGTGTTTCAACTCTCTGATCTGTCTCTATGCCGAGTCGTGTTTTGATTTTCTGATCTGTTTGATCTCCTCCGCCTCTTTTTCTATCTTCTGAATCCCTTGATCTGAGCCTCAGTATCAGGTTGTTTCAGGACAGCCGATTAACAATCTCTAGATCTTGATCTTAGGGTCTAGATCAATCTGAATAATAAAATAGTTAAAAACCCAGTTTGGCTGGAGATCTACCGGAAAACAAGCACCAAGGATTTGCCGAAAAATCATCATTCGCCCAAAAAAAAAAGTGATCTGTAGAATTTGGGCCTCCGAAGATCCACGATAGACTCTCTCTCTCTTTCTCTCTCTCTCTCTCTCTATTGATCTGATACGTTACAAGCCGTTCACCACAATGTTGGGTGTTTCAAGTTTATGGATTCTAAATCTGTAGTGGATCTAGTAGAAGCTTCATTAGGAGTTTACTTTTTTGGGCTTCATTTGGATGGCGTAGAGAAAAAAATGGCTATAGAAGTGGATTAACCATAGTCCTCTACAAATGAAGATGTGCATAAACAACGGTTTATCATAGAAGTTGCTAGTGGTACTTTGTCAGGAAAAACTATTGTTTGTGATATGATTAATGAGCAACTTCGGGACCAGCGTGTTGTACTTGATAACTAATAGTATTTCATCATACGTTGACCGATGAGGAGCTTAAGTGAGTTCATGAGTTTAACTTTGACTATCATGATGCCTTTGACATGGAGAAGCCATCTACGCCTCAAAGCGCTCTCCCACGGCCCCCATCCAGATTTTCAGCCTCCCAGATCCTAAAGCCCCCTTGACCACTCGTCCAACCACATATATCTTCCCCAATCGCTCTGATCTGAAACCTCTAAAATTGACCATCTAAAAAACCCTTATGAAAAACCAACCAAAAAACAAAATTGCTAGTTCTGCCCTTCTGAAGAACAACCATTTTTGCCTTTAAAAAATCAGCTATTCGCCTAGTCCCAGCCAAATATGTTAGGAAAATCCTCTAAAAATTTGTCCCCCCCCCCCCCCAAAAAAAAAAAGTAGATTTTCTTACTTCACAAGTGCAACACGCTGGTCCCGAAGTTCCTCATTGATCATATCACAAACAGTATGGAAAATATATATTACACCGAGTTCTATTGGCTCTTCCAAGTGTCATTCTGTTCTCTCAGTTATCATGACTGCTTTGTCTGGAATTTTTATCTCATTGATCGAGCCTACTTTGATATGGCATTCAGTTCTTGAGGCCATATGTTCCTGAAGTTTGTTGATCCGCTGCTGCTTTTTGTGTTTTTTGATCAAGCAATCTGAGTATGACAACCACTGCATCTACTGGTTATGCTTACGCCTAAAGATCCAACTGCTTGTTTACAGAATTAGTATTAAAACTCCAACTGCTCTCTCATAACATATTGAGTTTGAGGGGGAGTGTGAAAGGGAAGAATATATATCAAGTTAATATAGAAAGTATATATTACAATCATTATATATGGTAAGGGTTAGTAGGGTATCTATACTTTATGGTAAGTATGGGTACAATTTAGTTATTTGTGACTTAGTTTTTATTATTATCATATGTATTATTATTGTTATATGTAATTTGTCTATAAAAGACAAGTCTGTATATTCATATGATTAATAGACACTGAGTCTCTTCAGAGAAACTTGAGACTCTTTACACTCTTAGGGAAACCCTTATAACAGAGTTTCAAGGAGGAAGTCTTGAAGGACATTTTCAAGGAGAAGGTCTTGAAAGACATTTTGGGCGAGACAAAACCATAGAATTGGTGGAGTCCAAGTATTTTTTATGCAAGTTGGAAATGGATGTTATTCGGTCTGTAGAGAGGTCTTGTAAATGTCAAATCGTTAAGGGGCATAAGTAGAACACAACGGATCATTCTCCACTTCCTATTCCCAACGAGCCTCGAGATGATGCTAACATGGACTTTGCGCCGAGTGTTTTGTGGTCACAACAATGTATGGACAAAGTATTTGTAGTAATGGACAAATTTTGAAAATGACTCAATTTTATAGCTTTTAAAAAGACATTGAATGCTACATATGAAAATGATCACTTCAAATCTAGATAAGTTTTAAATTCTAAGTCATTTTTGGGGAAACTTATGGAAGAAAGTGAGTACTTAATTACAATTCAGTAGCGCTTACCACCCACAGACAAATTGGCAGATTGAACTGGTGAATTGTACTCTAAGGAATCTTCTCAAAAGCTTTGTGGGATACAAGAAGAAGCAATAGGATATTGTGCCATGCAAGAGGAATTTACCTATAATAGTGGTCATCGCGGGTCAACTGATACGAGTATGTCCAAAGTGGTTTATAAGCAAAACCCTACTCATTCATCAGACTTGGTTCTTTTCCAGACTAACGGGGAGGGTCATGCCACTGTTGAAGAGATGGTTGAACATATGAAAATGATCCATGATCAAGTGCGAGCTAATTTAAAATCCAATACAACCGAGTATAAAAGGAGGACCGCCAAATACCATCGTTTGAAACAGTTCAATGTTGGAGATATGGTAATTGTTTATTTGCGAAGGAAGAGGGATCCAATATGCAAATACAACAAATTGAATAATCAGAAGACAAGTCTATTTAAGATCTTAAAAAAGATAGGCACAGTCGCGTATAAGGTCGTCTTGCCTTTACATATGGAGACATCTAATGTTTTGAATATTGTTAGGTCGTCTTGCCTTCACATATGGAGACATCTAATGTTTTGAATATTGTTAATTTGTCTGAGTATGATGAATAAGAGGTTAGTGAACATGAAGTTCCTAACTCAAGTTTGAATTCTTTTCAACCGAAAGAGAAGGATGACGTGCATAACAATCTTAATGGGGATGATCTACCTTTCCAACATCACATTCTTGGCAAGCTCTCATTTATTTAGAGGATGCAAATCCTAAACGGGCTATCAAGAAGAATAAGAAGAGTAAGCATCAACAGGTGCTATTTTATTTAGTTCTTTCTGTTTATTTTTATGGGTGTAATTTGTATAGAGCCGATGCTCTAAACAAACAAAATAAAGCTCACCTTCAAATAGTGTCGAGAAATGTAGTTTCAATATTGAAAATCTTTGTGATGTCTTAAATATATTTTCATCTTGAATTATAAATTTTAAAGCTTTAAAAATAGTATAGATCGAGCAGAGCTATGAAAACTTAAAAATCTTAAAAATTGATGGCAAAAAAATGCATTACCAGATGCACTATTTCCAAAACTTGAAATCTATTTTTTCCTCATGTCCATGCATCTTGATGTCGAGTTGATCAATTTGAAGATATTTGGGCGTCAAAACAATATCTTCTAATGGAATTTTTGAAACGGCCCCTAATTTGATTGTTTAGAGCCTCGGCTCTATATAAACTTTTCCTTTTTTATTTTAGCTATAGTTTCTTTTATTTTAGAATAGGTTAAAGGAAATATGATATTTTTGTTTGAGTTGAGTTTATAAGTCATTTGTATTTAAGTGAAGGGTACTACAGCCTTTTTAAATTTTTAGTCATATTTAAAAAAAGAAGTGCAGCGTGTAAAGAAGGGGGTTTTCAATTTTTTTAATAAAAGAAGAAGAAGGAAGCTTTTGATTGGAAGCCTAGTTAGGGTTTTTGACAAAAGATCGAGATTTCTTCAACTTTGTGTCTGCTCGGAATGACATATTTTCTTGTTCTTTTCATAAAAAATTTCAATCACTAAAGGATGTAGTTTCAGTGTCAAAAATTATTTCGATATCCCGAAAATCTATATTTACTAATAATTGTGAATTTTAAAGCTTAAAATATACTGTAGATCGAGTATATCTATAAAGGCAAATGGTATGATAGGGCAGTAGCACTATAAAAATAAATAAAAGTTCATGTTAAAAAATTCATCAAAAATTGTAACTTCAGTGTTGAAAAACCTTCAAAATGGATATCTCTGTTTGAACATTATTGTTGTGAAAAAAGATTAGGATTTCAAGTTTTAAAAATACTGTATATTGCACCAAATCATCTAAACCATACATTTCATCCTACAATTAAATGTTATCAAATCCATAAGATCTATACCATTTTGTACATTTCAAAATTTATTAACGTTATTGGAAATTGATTTTAGAGCCATCATAAGATTTCATCCTATAATTAAATGTTACCAAATCCATAAGATCTATACCATTTTTTACATTTCAAAATTTATTGACGTTATTGGAAATTGATTTTAGAGCCATCATAAAGAATTTCGATGGCCAAAGTGCTTTCCAAATGAGGATTTGAGGTGAAACTTTATTTTGTTTTTATAAAGCCTTGGCCCTATAGAAACTTCATCCATCTATAAATGCTTAAATTTTTTGAAAATGAATGGGCTATAAGAAGCACTAGTTTTTTTTTTTCATTACATGAACTAAAACTTTCAAAAGCCGACATCTCTATAGAAGACGGTTCGAACCACCTTATATAGATTATATTACTCAACACTTTTAGTCCAGAGCTTCAAATTTGTTGCGGTTTGTATAAGGCAGAGATACTAAAGAATCAAAGTAAGGCACACCTTCAAATAGTGGCGAAAGATGTTTTAGTATTGAAAATCTTTGAAAGAGATTGGAAAATTTATTTTTTTATCTGATTATAAAATTTCAAGCTTTCAAAATATTTATGAATAAATTGAACTATATTAGCGTAAATTCTCTTAATATGCTTTACAAACCCTTTTTCTTTTCGCACGCTCCCAAAGCATAAAGCAAAGCTCCTCACTTTCTCTTTTTCTCGGTAAATAAAATGCCCTCGGTTTCTTTCCCCCGTTTATCATCTCTCTTCTTCTCTGTACAATTTCCATTTCTCTCTCTACAATTTGCTCAGCCATGTCTCTCTCTGTAAGACACCGGCGCCCTAACCTTGCCCCTGAAGATGAGCAGGAGGATTCTTCTTCCTCCTACTCAAAACTCGACAAACCAGAGACCACGAAGCAAGATACAGAGACTGGTCTCAATTGGAGGCTCCCTTTCATCGTTCTCTCAATCCTGAGATATATGAGCGCCACCTCCAATATCATCCATGACTGTGATGAATCCTTCAATTACTGGGAGCCCCTTCACTACCTTCTCTATAATTCAGGTTTCCAAACCTGGGAATACAGGTATGCATCTTCCAATTCACAGTTTTGTATTTTTTTTATATGCCATTTATGCTACAAATGCTAGTACCGTTACTATTGCAGCTACTTGTTGTTTGTATGTTTTGAAATAAATGTGGGAAATTTATGATGTTTATGTGCAAGATCATACTGATGAGTAAAAACCAGTCAGATACAGATTTTTGTTTTCTATGTGATGTTTGGGATTGTTGGGATCACTATTTCATCGGACTCATTGCTTGTTTTCTGTATTTGCGTGATCATCAGAGTCATTGTTTCTTAGCTGTATTTGTGTGACTAGCATTTGTTTGGTTATTTGTATTTTGCATTGCTTTTAAACTCGGCTCCGGCCTGAAGCTCTGCTCTGGCATGAGTGAGTAACTTGGCCGACTTGGCTGAGCAATGTACAAGGCCCAAAAAGGCCTAAAGTTTTTTAAAAATTTCAAAGAAATTGCTAAATAATAAAATAAAATGTTAAAAGCGAAATAAAACTAAAACCAAACTAAAATCGAAACAAGATGAACAAAATATATAAAACATGGATTTAGAAAGCTTTGATTTATGATTGGAGACATTTCAGAAAAAAAAAAAAGAGGATAATACAAAAATAGTGCACATGACAAGGAAAACTCACAAATCATTGTAAAAACCATCCAAATTACGTATATAATTTTTATACATGGATACCACAATTTTATATAAGCTTTTGAGCTAGTCTTGTTAGTTGGCTCATATATCTTTAGATTTTATGAAGTGGGCTTCTGAAGCTTATGGTTTAGCATGGGACGATAAGCTCCTTGTCATGAAGGTGATGATGAGCGAGAGCTTTAATTTTACCATGGGACTAGAGCTAGTATTCGTTGTGTTCTAATAATTATTGACATCTGGACACTGTTGTTTGTTGACTGAATAGGAGCTATTGATCACTACTACCATACTGTTACTATCAAGTTTATTGTTATTTATGAAGTTATCACTGTTGGGGGTTTTTCACATGAGGTTGGGAATGCATTTGAATGATGGTTAGAATTTTTGTCTTGAGCGGAGGATCAGTTGAGGAAGCTTTGGTTGCTTAAATCCAATGTTCATAATTTATGCGTAGATAAGAGATGTGAGAGATCTGCAGTTCCAGCTATAAATAGGTAGCTGTGAAAGGGGATGAGATGGAGCTCTTTAGAGATAAATAAGGATAATGAATCTTGAAAGATTCGAAGGATGAATTTGAATTCGTGATCATTTAGTAGGGATTTTGAGGAGCTTTTGAGGGATTTGTGTGGGGCATGTAAAGGATAAAGGGATTCTGTATATCTCTTAGGCATCTAGAGCTTGTCGGGAAATGAACCTCAGCTGATCATCTCAGCAATTGTTTGGAAGTAGACACAAATAGATGAATTAAGAAATTGGTCCATTTCTTAGTGAACTTACACTCCATTGTTTGCTGCCATATGTAACCCAATTGGCTGGTATTTAGTGAACTTTGTCCTTAGAGAAGGGTTGTCTAATGTCGGTTGGGATTTGTTGGTCCGTAATTTTTAACATGTTTTGGGCATGTTCAAAAGTAACGTGATTTGGGGAATGCCAATACTGAGGAACTAAAAATCATAGTTACTGGGATCTTCTAAGGAGGGGATTGCTCCCGCTCTAGAAACTCGATCCAGCTTTCCGAGACATGGGATCTCGATTCCCATTGATTCCTTAATATTTTGGATCTCGATTTTGGAAATCGGGAAACTCAATCCCATTTAATGGGATCCTATCCCTATGCCAAAATCCATGGTTCCATGAGTAAGCAAAACCACGATTCCACCAACTTGTAATTGAGTGCCCTCTACTTTGGGAGTGAGTTTCACTGGTACATTTTTTGTTCATATACAATGGAGTGTGGATCTCCAACTTTTTTGAAGAAAGGCAATGAGAGAGCGAGAGACAAAAGAAGATGGAAGGAGATGCAAAAGTTAGCTGTATGATGGTTTTATTGAGGAATTTCAATAGTCTTAACATCCGTGGGCCTAGTGTATTGGGTCATGTCCACCTCCCAAAGGACTTCTATCTCTTGAGTGTTTGTTAACCCATAGTTAAGGGAGCCTTGTGGGTAGGGTGACGATCTCGCTCCGGAACCTCGATCCCACGGTTTCTGCAAGGGATCTTGTAGGGACACTGTTTTTTTTATATTGGGATCTCACTCCCAAAAACAGGGGACCACATTCCATCCATTAGTGGAATCCAGTTCCATTTCGAAATAGATCCCCGTCAACCATGGTCCAAGGCTTTGGTATATTAAAATCTTGGGTTCCATGTTTATGGGTTCTACTTTCATTAACGGATGATACCAGGTTAGAGATTACCGTTGTCTGAAGTTCCCATTATTTAGGAATCATAAGTTCCATGATGTGAAATTCCAATCCCTTTTTTGCATAGCACGAAGTTCCATTATTTTAGATTCTTAATTTGAACTAGGCATAGTCTAGAGTGACCCATTGTTTTATTAAGTTCTATTGTGTAAGCCATCCCTCTTAGTTGTGAGAATATATATTTTATTTAAAATTATATTTATGATGTTCTGTTGTTTTAGAGTCTTAAATCTTATTATAGTTGTAAGATGAGAATATATGCTTTCATTTCAAGCTTTAAAAAACTTCTTTTATGCGAGAGAGAGAGAGAGTGAGAGAGAGAGAGAGAGAGAGAGAGAGAGAGAGAGAGAGAGAGAGAGAGAGTACTACGTAACGTAACCTAACCTTTACGTTTTAGTTAGTAGGTAGGTAGTACGTTAGTTACTTCGTTACGTACGTAACGTAACTAAACTACGTACCGTAACCGTACGTACG